CTTTCAAGGCCCTCCAACTTGGCAGCCATCATGATGTAGCATCAAGATGCCATCTTCATCACTGTGGGGGTGTACAAAACACACAGCTGGAAAACAATTGTCACAACTACATTTGATACAGCAGTGAATTGTTGGCCTGGCATAAGGTAAATACCCAGGGACAGAATAATCTGCCTGTTATCTGGTGGCTCATCTCTCTAGCTTACCCACCAGGGTGAAAAACCATGAAGTGACAGATTGGAAGCCACTTGGGCACATGGCCTCTGTGCGGTCACTGTCACCTGGGAATAAGTCAGGTCTTCGGCCCTCAAGCAAGGCCTGATTCCACATGCCTGCACCCCGATGGTCCCTTGAGAGGACATGTGCAAGAGAACCAAAGGGGTGGTATCCCCCATCCCCCCCCCCAAAAAACCCTGAATCTTGTCCTATGCCACACTACCCATAAGTTGTAACAAAAGATTGGTTCAGACTTACAGAGAGATTAAATGTTACAGCTATACCAGGCCTATTCAACAACAATGTACAATTATAACAAAATAGGAAGGGTAGGAAGGAAATCTGTTCAACCCCAAGTACTGAAGGAGCTGGTGAAAGTTTTAATTTATACCTCTTCACCTGACCTAAGTGAAAATTTCCACTTTCAGGCCAAGTAAAGAGCAGCTCCCACCCCCGGTTCCCCTGCTTGACTGCCCTTCCTCAAAGCCTGCAAAAGCCATATGGGCCTCTTCCAGAAAATCATCAAGACCAAATACAGCTCCCCTCCATTCCAGGAACCACACAAGAGCCCATAAATGGACTTTTTGGTGAGTGTAGAGTCCTCACTTGTGGAAATTGTTGGAACAAAATTCCTATGTGTTCTCTGGCACCCACTGAGAACAGGCCCAGCTTCTTGTTTCCCTAAGTATGAACATCTCTTGAAACCTCAAATTACAAACCAGACATTCTAATAGTAACAACTCGCAGAAATGGACTACTCAAGCTGCCTCTGGAAGGTAGATTACTTTAATTCTTACAAATAATTACCTTAATTCTCCAAAGTAAAGTTGCAGGCATTTTACAATGGGAATGAAGCAGGCAGGCATGACATCTAACATTTCACAGATGACAAAGAGGACACATGTGGCCAAGCAACATCAGAGTGTGATCAAAACGGCAAAGGTTATTTGGAAGAACAGACAAGCAGGGAAAGACTACGGGAGTTTGCTTTTGCCTGAGACTGTTGATAAAGACAGAAGTCAGCTCCTCATCTCCCCTCCACCCAACAGCATCACTAGGAGGGTCCGGGGAGTGCGGACCACACCAGGTGACACCTTGAAGAGGGGTGACTCCCAGCCATACCTCCCCCCCCCCCCCCCCCCCCCCCCCCCGCTTCAGCTGTTAGTAGAGTACTTTCACTACCAGGCAGCTTCTTCCAGTATTCATTGGGGTGCTAGCCAAGCAGGAAAGGAATGTGCCAGCGGTGGGGACAGCAGGGAGGTAACAGAGCCCCCCTTTTGCTCACTGGTTTCTGATTCTCTGCTGCCTTGGGCTTTACCCACCTCAGCCCAGAAAGCCCAAGCCAGCAACGGTGGAGGAGGAGAAGCACATGGTGCCTGTTGCAACCCATGATGCAGCCCATGATGAAAGGGGAAGAGAGGCTTCCAGGAGAGTACCTTTTTTGTTGAGTTTCTTCAGCACATACATGCACACACCCTCCCTCCTTCCCAGCAGGTCTGAGGGGGAAGTTAGTTGTGCCTTTCTCCTCAGACCTGTGCTGAGCTGTTTGTGTGTGTGTGAAAAATCCCAGCAAGGAGAAGCCTGCAGGAAAGCAGCTTGCTTTTCTTCGCTGAATTTCTTCAAGCAAACACCCCTGCTCACGTGTACACACACACACACACACACATACATCTTCCAGGCAGGTCTGAGGGGGAAAGCCAGTTGTTTGAGTGTGTGCATGTGTGTTTGTGTGTGTTGAAGAATCCCAGCAAGGAGACGCCTGCAGGAGGGTAGCTTGCTTTTCCTTACAGAGTTTCTTCTGCATACACACAGGCCCCATTCACACTTGCATTTTTGTGCTGGGTAGATCAGTGCAGATTCATTGATACAATACTGAATCTGACCTGAATAGAAGTTCATACTGCATTTACCCCAATCAAATCTCTCCAATGCAATTTAACCTTGTCAAGTTCAAACTGACCAAAGTACCAATTAAAAATGGAACCTCCTTATCTATCGCTTTCAATCATTTTTGGGGAGGGGGTTGTTCTGTCAATCAAAAGATGCACATCTACATCACACTGTAGGATGGGAAGGACAAGCCTTTTGGAGAACCCCTTGCCATGAAACCCCCATGAGAGCTTCTCCTTGAGGGGGATCTCCCCCTGCCAGCCTTGGACTGGAGAATAAAATCACCATGTGTTGAAGCCATGGAAGTGCAAAGGTTTGCACTTTCTGTCAAATAAAAAAGTAAAAATAAAAAACCCAAAAGACCCTTCTTCACCAGGTCTGAACATCTGGGCTATAGCATCATCGGCAGGTGGAGATGCAGGAAAGAGGGAAACAGCTGGGCGGTTGTTTAAAGGGCTGGGTAGTGGGAAATTTAAAATCATCAGAGCTGGCAACTAGGCGCGAGCACAAAAATGGTGCTTGCCATGTACTCCGACCTGTGAGAGGGAAGAGGCATGTTCCACCCCTTTCCCCAACCTCTGTCCATTAATCCCTCCTTTCAGGAAGCCCCGAATAGGATTGGGGGCACATTCACATTGGCAGCACCCTGACAAAACCCGATTTTTTTCAAGAGACATGGGGAAAAACTCAATATCGGAAAACCCACAATGAGGGGGATTTGCCCCAGGTCCACCCCTATTCGGGTGTGCAAAATCCAGTGCCAATGTGAACTACCCAATTTTAAATTGGTTTGCAAACCAGTTTATAATGTTGTGTGAACAGCCTTACAGACACACATGCCTACCCACCTCCTTTGCCATGGGGGAAGATTTTTTTTTTTTTAAGTAATGTTCCTTGCCCCATTTTCATTCCCTTAAGTCTTGACTATACTGCAGGCAACATTACATGCTGTTTACTATGTAGCATATAGGATGGAAGGATGGAACCTGGGTAAACTGAGTAGGAGCCCTGTTGGCTAAATGCCTGTACTGCATCCACTCACTCGCAAACATTAAGGTTGCAAGTTCAAAACCAGCCAGGGGACTTAGGCTCGACTCAGGCTTGCATCCTTCAGAGGTCATTAAAATGAGTACCCAGCTTGTTGGGGGCAATTAGCTTATACATTGTAAACCACTTAGGGAGTGCTTAGATGCACTGATAAGCGGTATAGAAATGTACTTGCTATTGCTATATTGCTAAACCGGGGTTGTGTATTGTTGCTCTGTGCCTTCAAACCATTTGTGGCTCATAGCTACCCTAATGTGAGCCTATCATGGGAATTTCTTGGCAAGATTTGATCAGAGGAGCTTTACCATTGCATTCCTCTGAAGCTGAGAGAGTGGAACTTGTCTCGGGTAATGCAAGAGGTTTCCACAGCTGAGTGGGGATTCAGACTCTGATCTCTATAGTTTTGGTACAACACTCAAACCACTACACCATGCTGGCTCTAAACTTGGGGTTAACTTGACCAAAAGGCTTCTCTAGAAATTTAAATTTAATTTAAAGGTGTAATTTTAATTTTGGGAGTTGTTTATGCCACTATTATTGCTTTTATATTCAGTGATATATAAGAATTCTGATTTATGAGTAACATTAGTACAAAGAAAATAACTAAGGATTCTCTATGGTGTGGTATGGGAGGAGGTCAAGGGGGGTGACACCATGAGTTACTGCACCAGGTGATACCAACCCTAGGGACACCACTGCCTCCACCCTGCTCAGTTTACTCTATTTGAAATAATCAATTGAAATAAGCTGAGGACAAAGGAGGAAGGTTGGATGAGAAAAGAAAAACTGGGTCATTCTAAAAGCAGTTGGAAAAGTGGAATGACAAAGGATTAATTGGGAATGGTCCTGCCAATTCAGAATAGTTGGAGGCTATGTGCATGTCATGGCAGACAGCACCATGAGAAAGAGACTCCCACTAGTAAAGTACATTGTTGTGGTACAATTTATGTTCTGGATTGTCCCATTTGTGCTAATTCTATTGGAACCTTGTGTGCTTCGGGCCAGTAGGGTCTGTGCAGATATCCTGGTTCAGTATTTGTAAGTGTACTGAGTTAGTATGCTGAGTAAGTATACTGGCCTAATTCCAATTGCAGAGTGAGCCCATTAAATCAATTGCTGAACAGTAAGTCAAGATTTATGTAAACCCCATTGATTCAATGAGTCTACTCATCTCTCCAAAAGCATCCTATGAGCATGCTATGCCAGGGCTCCACATGGTATCAGCCTCTCTCCAGTTTGTTTCCTAAAAAGATTTGACATTACTTTGAAGTAGAAGTGGGAGGAGAGAGAGAAATATGCTATACCTCTTGTGCCTGATAAACTGGCCAAAGCAACTGAAGCAGATCATTTTGTGCATTAAAAAGAAGTAGATTTTAAAAAAACAAAACCAACATGAAAATGAGGAGAAAATATCCAGAAGGGAAAGGCCATTATTAGCAATTCATATACCACAGAAGCTTGTCTGCTCTTATACGCTGGTCCTTGTGCCTTTAGGATATTTTCTTCTACTCCATTTTAGCACTAACCAGCTACCTATCCTCCCTATTCATTACGGGAGGCCAGAAATAAAATGAGGTCACCCGGTTTCTGAAAAGCAGCTATCCCCTAAAGTACTCTACGCTATGAAGAGCAAGACTGTCAGTCCTTTCTAACTGGAAAAATTTCTATCACAGTCATGCAGCTCAGCCTGGAGGCCACTCTCCTTCCCTCTTCTCTTGCAACTCTGTCAGTTCATACACATCTAAATTTTTAGAAAATTAGTTTTCTTGGCAAGATTTGTTCAGGATGGGCAGGTTGCCTTTCCCTTTCCTCTGAGATGGAGAAAGTGTGACTTGCCCAAAGTTCATGGCCAGGCAAGGATTTGAACCCTGGTCTTCAGAGTCATAGTCCAATGCTCAAACCACTAAACCACACTGGCTCTCATGGCAAAGGGGGAAATCACTAAAGAAGAATACAAATGAATTACTTGTAGGGAGAAGGTCAGAAAATGGAAAGTTCAGAATGAGCTCTGCCTTGCTAGATAGGTTAAAAAACAATTAAGGCGAGTTATGGCTATAATCAGAGCAAGGGGAAAAACCAAAGAGACAGTAGCCACTATATATATAAAATACCAAAAAAGAAACATATGGTAAAATACAAAAGGGGGACAAAGAGAAGGATGTTCAATTCCTTCTTTGCCTCAGTCTTCTCCCAAAAGGAAAACATTGTTCTATCTTCTGGAAAATAGAACAAATGATGCAGTAATAGGACTTTGGTAGTAAAGGAAAACTTTAAGTCAAAAATGGGAAAGTGGTAGTAAAGGAAAACTTAGGGCCTTTGCAGACTGCTAGAAATAGTGCAAATTGAGT